GTTAATATTTGTGAACCACCCAGAAAGCCTGAGGGCTATGGGGCAGTATATAAATGTAAGAGACTTGAATCTGTTACTCTGATTCCATCAAGTATTCTTGGCCCACATTTCTTATCTGTTAGCTACTATACCTCTAATACCTATTTTTCTGCCACTTAAATCCACTGTACTTTACACTAAAGTCTGTGGTTATCAATATGCAATTAATGCAGATTCCAGATTGAGAAGGTTGGAGTTAAGAGAATTTGAATGAAATGGTTGACATTATAATGTTTTGAAACAGTGAACAGCAACCCTTGTATCCATTTTGTAGCCATACTCAAGACCATGCATTTTAAAAGATTTTTTAAAATGCCAATTAAACATCCATCTGGTATATTTCAGGTTTTTTACAACACTGTGATCCTTCATAATTTTAAAAATTATTTCAATTTATTCTCCAGTGCACAGAAATGTCCCAAAAGTCTGTGCAGCATGACTTTCACACATGTACATAAATCCACATATATTCATGGATACAGATAAGAAAATAAAGCTATTTCTCTCAGAAATGTGGAATGCACAAAACAAAAACATTTTATAGGGAAGAGCTCCATCCAACAGTGAAATTAGTTCAAAGGCAACAATTAAAGTTCAAAAAGACACTTTTAAAATTTTATTTTAAGTGGAAAAATGTTTGATTAGTACATGTTCCATGCACATGGCTTGGTATTCCACTTCAATCGGCTCAAGCCTAAAGATAGATAAAGATGCAGGTATGGGAATTAATGTTTGCCAATCAAAGCACAAGGAAGAATGAACTCTGGAAATGGCAAGGCAGGATTTTGGAAGTTTGAGTGCTGGCGAAATGGTGGCCACACAGAGAAAGATGTGATAGATTTAAAGGAATAGAATGAGAAAGAAAATGAAATGGGATTGGACTGTTATATTTAGGTCTTCAGAGTGTGGGGAGCATAAAAACAAAACAAAGCAAAACCAAACCACGTCCTGAATAGTAACAGTTGCTTAAAAACTCACAGTGGGCACAATGTACCTGCTGGCTTCCCAGCCTTGCCTACAAATTCAAAATAGGTACTGAGTATTATGTTGTCCAGAGAAGCCAAAAGATGGGGAGGCTTTATGGAGGCTAGTACTCAGCTCTGAGTTCAGTTACAAATTTATCACACTTCAGTTGCAAATTTATAATATACATGGAAAACTTTAAAACTAGGCTCCTCCTTAGCACCTGACTATTTCACTTAAAATAATGGACACAGATGAGCAGAAAAACTAAGGAGATGAGGCAAGGAAGGGAACTACCTTTTATAAAAAGTACCTTCACAATGAGCAGTTGAATAAAGTGACAGTGATTGACATAAGGCCTGTGACATAAGGCCACTTCCAGAATGATGTAGATTCCCTGTTTGACCACTAGCATTACACTAAGAGCCAGAAACTCATGTAGAACCCTACATAGGATACAGAGGGCAGATCAGAAGGTGCCTTTGTCCTGCATGGACCCAGACCATAAGCCTAGGAGCCACATCACCAGACATTATACAAGGCAAGCAAGGTGCTTCAAACTGATGGCAGGAGGCTGTGATGCTGAAAACACAGGCTCAGTGCCAGAGGAAAGTGAGAAAAGCACTAGGCAGTGCTCACGAGGAAGAAAGAGCCTTAAGAACCAGGCAAGCCCCTGGTGATTTTTAGAACAGAACTGAATTCCACCATGCCAGAGCAGCAAGAATGCGCACAAATAGTATGTGCTGGGGGCCCAAAGCAAAAGGCAATTCTAGATTTCAGAATGAAGGACTCCATGACTCTGAGCCTAGACTGAGCGAGCTTTCAAAGAGCCATATATCTGAGAGAAAGTTAAGTGAAAGTAGAACACCCAACCAGTAATTTACTGCAGGATGGAGACAGGATTTGGCCATGTTTTCTATTAAGGCTCTTGATTGGTGAATTTAAAGTTATCCGCACGAGGTGGAGAATTGAAAGTGATGTAGGCATTTGTACAGGTTTGCAGTTTTGTGGGATTTTGTTTAAGAACAAAAGCTTACTTTTGTTTTTGAAAGCACTGTGATCTGAATGTATTTTAAGCAGCAGTTAATAGAACAGTGTGGGATATGTTCTGTGTTAAGTTTAAGGAGCAAATTATATTTCATTAATCAAAGTATTGGGGCGATAGCATGTTCTAAGAAGAACTATAAGCCAATTCTGTCTTTCTCATTTTTAAAGAACTGAAATCATTGAGGCAAGCCTTGAGGCATGGGGGAGCACCACCTTCTCCTTTGAAGCCAAAGCTATCTAAGATTGGCAATGCCTCCATGAACTCTAACTTCATTTTTACTTAATTCCTTCTCATCACAAACCTCTGACTTTTAATGGTGTGTTTCAAGCTATGCATCGGTAAAATGTACTTGAAATCTGATACTTCTATCATTTACCCAGTGTGGATATAGTCTTTTAATTAGTAATAAGGAGACTTAAATCTCCATCCACTTCTGTCCAAAGTTTGTGCATCGATCCCTGTGAACATTATATAAATGAAGGGGCATACATCTACTAGGTGCTAGATAGCTGCACAGTGTAGCAGCAAAGTTAAATCCAATACTCTAGCCATTAAGAAGAAATAGAATGCTACCAGTTTAGATTACTCAGAATTAAAACTCAAACTGGATATTTTATTACTGTTCCATTGTATTTAATGTCAGGAACCCTTATTCCAATGAATTTGTGACTACAAAGGATGCCTCATCACCTATGATTTTTTTTAAAAAAACTTTCTAAAACTAAGTATTTGACAAATTATGAATCATTTTATTTCAAAGCATGCCTTCAAAAGAAGCTTGCACAAACAAGTTTGCAATTGATTTAAACAGTTTGCTGCTGTAACAAAAAATAAAACAACCCAGCATGTTATTCCCTCAAGTGTTTTTCCTTTTCTAACATGCTGCAACCAAGAGTACCTTTTATACTTGAGGTACTTGCTTTAAAAAATTCTCACATTCAAAGAAATCCTAAGTGTTCTTTGTGCTTGAATTACTAAATGTTACCTTTGCTTGAAGATGCACAAGTCAAATAACTCTGGGTGACATTTTCACTAACTCAAGAAAGTTGTGTCACTACTTTAACCAGAGAAAAGCATTTTAAAAATGGTCATCCCAATTTTTCTCTTTGTGTCCCACAGAAAGTGTTTCTCTCCTCTTTCATTTTTAAACCTCCCTTATTTTCTCTTTCTATTCTACGATGCACGCAGCTCCTTTCCCCATTTGCCTACCAAGGGTCTGCATTCCTATCAAGAAACACAGACTAGCAATCAGAACAAATAGCCACCTGGTCCAGCATCCTGTTTTCTCAATATTCTAAGGGAAGCCAGGGTGCCAATCTCAGTTCCCTGGCACGCATGCCAATGTAACATCTGTGTTTACAAGCACATATTTTTCACATACTTGAATTACAATACACAGAAAAACATACACAGAAACAACATACACAGAAAAAACATAAGTATAAATGTAAAAGAGAAACCCAAGTGAAGTGATTAACAATTTCAACTTATATTCATTGATAGAAATGCTAAATCACTCCTAAGCCAATGTATTTAAGCCTACTTCCACTGATTATAGGGCAGTGATGGTGAACCTTTTAGAGGCCAAGTGCCCAAACTGCAACCCAAACCCCACGTATTTATCGCAAAGTGCCAACACTGAAATAAAACTTGAATAGTGAGATTTTAGTTTAGAAAAACAACTCACAGGCAGTCCAAGAAAAAAAAATCCTTGGCAGCGCACTGGCTGGCCATGCAAAAGCTCAGACGAGTTGTGGCTAATGAGTCACAGCTCATGACATCATCACCTGGCACCGCTACTCCCTTCCAAGCATGCGCATGGGCCCTATGTGCACTGTTATCCAAAGCTCGGCTGCTGGGGTGATGCTGGGGTGACTTGGCTCACGTGCCGACAGAAAGGGCTCTGCATGTCCACTGCATGGTCTATACTTTGCTGTCTTTTGTAATTTCTACAGAACTTTGGTTTGTGATCAATCATGGACATGTAAGAAACTGTGTTACACCAGTCAGTTGTTATAGGGCAAATAACTTATTGCCAGATGTCATTTCTAATTTATGAAGTGTTTCTAGTTAGAAATAAGTAATTAATAAATATTTTATTTCCTGAATTTGATCACTTCTGTCTGGGATATGCCGGGATTTTATTACGTTTTTCATAATTATTTCTCTATTAAACTTTTCCCTATCCATGTTCTAGCATACATTGGGCAGTATCTAGCAGGATACACTCATTAAGGTAAATGACATCATACTGGAAGAAAATAGCATAAATTAGCATTTGTGCCACCTGGATACTGCCCATAGTTCAGACTGTGAACTAATAATGATAATGATAATGTAATGAATTCAGAAAATTGCTTTTAGTTCTGACTCTGATTCCTGTAATTTCACTTACCTCAGTTCTAGAATGGGATTGCATGTAAGTATAAGAGCTGGAAAGCATTTAGATAGTGAAGAGCATAGTACTATATGTACTATAAAGGTAAAGGTTTCCCCTTGACATTAAGTGCACAAATAAATATTTGTTCTTTCTCCAACAGAGCTAAGCTGTTTTCTTTTGAATACCCAATAATTATAGTCAGTTCCTGGTTTCATCATGTCATATTAGATCAGTGGAAGGATCTACCTAGTCCCTCAAATATCATGCCTCTAGCAATGTCGGAGAGGTTCTATAATTTACCAAGTCAGTGGGTTCCCTAGTGATTCATTCAAATCGCAGGATAAACATTCCTTCTAAGGCCCAAGCAAATAGATTACAGATCAATACAATGTACTGATCTTGGACATTTACACTTTGCAAATGTTTTGAAAGTTGAACTTCAGCTTCATTTTATTCTGCGTCTAATAACCATACTTGCGCCACCCCATGAATATGAACAAACGACTTAGAAGTGGCAGCAGAGATTTGTATTAGGGTCAAGTTTCAACTGTAATAAAAAGGATTGCTTACCTTCAGACAGGGACAAGTCATCAGCTGGAGACAGCAGGTCTGTCTGTACTGCAAGGCCATCGCTCAGCCACGTGGTAATCTGATTTGTCAAGATAACCTGCAAACAGACATGGAGAAGGAAAATGTGTTAAAATTACAAGAAGACAGATGCTAAAGTAATCCAGAGAAGAACTGGAATGTATAGACAAGACAGGCTATGATCAGCTTGCACCCTAATATTTACTTATTGCAACCCCTTCCTGGAAAATCTGGATGAACTAAAGGATCATTATAACAAAAGATACAAAAAGCTATACTTTCTAGATTACTTAGGCCTAGGGGATTCACATTATACCTCATCTAACTGGTAAACAAAAGGGAAGCCTTTGTTCAGTGAAGATTGGTCCTGATAGGCTAAATAGTAGATATTTTAAGATGTTTGGGGGGACCCTGGGGAACAATGTGGCACTCTCATTACTACAGTCATGGGGTAGGTAAGGTATGATGCTGCAGGGAAAATGGGCCAACAGAGGGGAAGAGGGGTTAGATACTCAACGTCCCCTTTTCTGGTTTTTCTTTCATCCAGAAGATTCTAAGCAACTGTACCAGCCTGCCCTCAGGCTTGGTGGTGCTATTGAACATCAGGTCAGCCCAGAACAAAATCACCCTCGTTCACAATACCTGGCCTGTATTACGGAGACCTGGGTGTTAGGCATTAAGACAGATTAGGGATTCTGTTAGTGTACTGCCCACCCTGCTTACATCATACTCCTTGTCATGAAGTTATTGGGAAGATGGCTAGAGCACGGGTGGAGGGAAACCTAAGCTGAAACTGACCAGCACAATTAAGAGCTCACTATTGAGCCTACTCTGTGGTGGTCAAGGTAATGAAGAAAGCCTTCTCCACAAGCATGGCATCCTCTCGATGCTGTTCAATGAAGATATTCTGAGTGGTTCAGATTTTTTTTTTTTATGTGTGGGCCCTAAAGAGGATCAGGGAAAACCCTCAATAGCTTACTGTGACAAGTTTGCATGGCATTTCAAGGATGAAGTCACTCAGATTCAGTATGAATTGGACCCCACATTTAATGTAGTCCCTTTAATGGAGGCATCTAATGCATCTTAACCATCTGGTTAAGTTTCACTTATTGGAACTTTTATTTCCAATAATAATTTTAGTGGATGAAATTCAATTATTGAGACCTGCTGATTGGACAAGGTGTGTGGACAAGTTCAGCCCGTCACCTGCATTCTCAACCTTTGCCCCTCTTGGCTACTCATCAAAAGAGGGATTGTGCTCCTGGGTCCTCTCTGAAGGAGGGGCTGGTCCCAGGTCTGTTAAAGGAGGTAGTGATCAGACCTCTCCTGAAGTAGGCAAGCCTGGACCTAGAAGACAGTAACAACTACAGGCCTGTGGTCAACATTCCGTTTCTGGGCAAGTTGCTCAAGCGGCTGGTACCTCAGCTGCTCCAGGCAATCTTGGAGGAAATGGACCATCTGGATCCATTTCAGTCCAGCTTTGGGCCTGGTTTCACGACTGAAACTGCCTTGGCAACCCTATGAGATGACCATTGCTGGGAGAAAGACAGGAGGAGTGCTCCTGGACCTCTCAGTGGCTTTCAATACTATCGAACATGGTATCGTTCTGGGTAGGCTGGTTGGGCTGGGAGTTGGAGACACTGCTTTGCAGTGGTTCTGCTCCTGCTTAACCAGCCGATTCCAGATGATGGCACCGGGGATAGCATCTCGGCCCCATGGCAGTTATGTCACAGAGTGGCACAGGGTTCCATCGCATCCCCCATGTTATTTAACGTCTGTATGAACTGTTGGGAGAGGTCATCCAGAGGTTTGGACTGAAGTGTCATCAGTATGTTGATGACATTCATCTCCACCTCTAATTTACATCTTATCCAGGTGAGGCAGTGTTGACTCTGAACGAGTGTCTGAGTGTGATGATGGACTGAATGAATGCTAATAAATTGAAGCTTAATCCAGAGAAGATGGAGGTGCTATTGGTAGATGGAGCCTCAGTTCAGGGAAAGGATATCTGCCCTGTCCTGGACAGGGTTGCACTCCCCCTAAGGACAGAGTGTGGAGTTTAGGGGTGCTCCTGGACCCAAAGTTGTCCCTGGAGTCCCAGGTAGCATCTGTGGCCAGGAGTACCTTTTATAAACTTCAGCTGATATACCAAGCTACAGCCCTTTCTGGAAGAGGAAACCTAGCATTGGTAATCCACCATATGGATTAATGTAATGCGCTTTACATGGGGCTGCCCTTGAAAATGGTCCAGAAATTTCAACTGGTACAAAATAAGCAGCCCACATGTTGACAAGGATGGGCAGACATGAAAATATAAGCCATGTTCTTTATCAGCTTCACTGGCTACCAATTGAAGTCCAGGCCTGCATCAAGGTGCTTACGCTGGCATATAAACCCCTAAATGGCTTAGGGGAATATCTCCTCTTACACGCACCTACCTGGACCCTAAGATCATCTATGGAGGCCCTTCTCTGGGAACCACCTTTAAAAGGCATAAGGAAAGTAGCTATGAAGGGAAGGGTCTTCTCAGCTGTCAGAAGACTAAACAATACCAGCCTAACACTGGCCTAAACAACACTTGTTGTCATACACTAGTCCTAACCCCCCCACCTTTAGTAAAATGGGTATAGCAGGGAGTACTTTGAGTATGTGACATACTCACATATCAGCCACTGTCTTCTGTCCTAATAACTATGCATTGTTTTGTACTGATAGGTTAATTATTTCAGTGTTTGCAAGCTCAAAGGAAAAAAATAAATGAAATAAGACATGAACTAGAAACATGTGCTTTGTTACCTTTAGTTTTTGGGTTGACATTTATTGAAACTACTCAAAAATACTGGATTTCTGAGTCTTCTGCAGGGAAACAAGCACTTCCCCAAAAGAAGGCCTAAAAATGAATCAGGAAGTTTCTTGTACAGACAACTGGGCTGACATTCTAGCCTTCTTTTTGTTAGTATGTTTAGTTCTGCTTTTTCTAAATGTCAAACACAACTATGACTTCATGCACTGTCTAAAACCACTGTAAAGTGAGAACAGGCTAATTTCCTAGAAAACAACTAGTAAAGTAGTACCTGTACATTTTGCCCCATAACTTGGTTCCAAAAAGGTTAGAATCTTACTTATATTAAAATAATTTGGGAATCAAAGACATATGGTTTAATCTGGACATCTCTGAGTGGTCTTCTTCTAGATATCTGCTACACAGTTCCCATCGCAGACTGACAACTTCTTATGAAGCCTACAGAAAGATCCAGCTTCTACAGACAGCTCAGTATTGTGATGGAAAAGGAAACCATTCATTACTGCAATATGCCATAGGCAGGCAACCTGCAGTCCTGCAGGGGCAGAAGAAGAAGAAAGCAAATGTGGTTGCTTTGTCTACTACTCATATCAGTCCTGCCTGCTATCCAAATCTGTTCCCCACAAAAAATGTCAAAGGAAACATAGCTCTCAGCAGAAACATTTTACCAGTTCTATGGTAGGATGATTTGCTTGTTGGTGACCTAGAAACTGTAGAATAATTTTTACCATGAATAAGACTTAATATGCATAATCAAACATATATATGATAGATATAATAACTACTTAGTGATATATTTTGATATGTCCAGTGATATATAATTTGATTTACTAAACCAATAAATAATTCCTTTATGACTTGTTTAGACCCTATCTATCTCAAGTCCAATTTTTTGGCTTGTATGCAGTAGCTTCTGTGTTACAACAAGCCACAGATATGCCATTTATACCTTTTGACTAATACCTATGACGTATGCAAAAACATGTGTCGTAAGTATGGGTTATGTCTTGGTGAAGACATACTGTAAATATTTGCTTTCAATGGACCAAGGTGAACTAGGAATCGCCCCCTAACAGCCATTATTAATGGTGTTTGTTTCTTTGTTTAAAATATTTGTATGCCACGCAATTGTGCCACAGCACCTCTGGGTGGCTCAGTCATAAGATAAAACACAATAAAAACTAATAACAACATATTAACATGCAGTGTTAATAAAATATGGATAAACATACAAAACAGAAGGTCAAGTGGCATTAACTATTACAATATTTTCTAAAAAGGAAGGTGGTGCTGAAAAGAATATAAGGAAGGTGCCAGGCAAATCTCTTTGGGGAAAGCATTCTAAATATGGGGAGCAACTGCAGAAAAGACCCTCTTCCTTTTGCATATGTGAATTACTATGTGAAGACCAACTTATTAATTTCATACCGCCCCATAGCCAAAGCTTTCTGGACAGTTTACAAATGGCTAAATAGATAGAACATTAAGCATATTATTTCCTGCATAATAACATATTAGATGTGGGCTCAGAAAGCTTTCTCAGCTAATTGTCCTTTAAAGCCCTCCATACTCTTAGAAGAATTTTTTAAGGGAGTAAAGGCTAGAGTTGCCAAAGAAATATGAAATTAAGTCAGTGTCAGCCAAGTCAAATCTGCCATGGACTTTCAAGTTTACTCAACAAAATCAGCTGCATTTTTATCTGAATTCCTGAGGGTCTTCCAGTGGACATATGCAAAAACATGCAAAGCCTGGGAGACCATCAGAGAACCATGGACAAAGAAAAAGATCCCGTGCATAGCAGTGCTATGGTAAACCCAACATTACATAAACAACAATGAAAACCCATAAAAACAGAATTGCTTCAATGGCTCCAAGACTAGAATCAATATGTCACTGAAGCTGGTCCATTGGCACCAGTATAACAATCCTAGTTTCAAAATGTTAAGCAGATTCCAAAGGAGCAGAAATATGAAGAAAGATCTAAAGATCCAAAGAAACAGATGTGAAGGCAAGGAATAGGATACATTTCAGATTAGCATTCAGTGTGTGCACACACACTTCCTCATTATGGCGTTGTATAAAGTTTGTATTGGCAGATGTTTCCACTGACTACATTATTCACAAATGTCAAGAGAACCCATGAGTGATGTGGTCATATGAAATCTGTTCCAATGTAAACTTTGCACTGTGCCATCATATGCTTTGTTGATGTCACATGGCTTTTATAAGCAAGTATAGCACATTTGATATTTTCTTTTTAAAGCCAAAGTACTGTA